CTCCTCAACCTCCAGACCCCTGAACCTCCTACCTATGTGTTCCCTCCATAATTTACCCAAGCATTAAAACCCACAACCCACCCCCCACCTCACATAGATTGCACCCATGTACCCCACCCTCCGTCCATGACCTCCCTCACGCGCAAGTCAGTGAGTGAAACCTGTCTACTCTCCTCAATCTCATCCTGTTTCACATGATAGACTCACCTCCTCCCAACTCCCTCATGCCCCTGTCCATCTACCTCACCGTATCAAGTCCCCACAGTTCCTGCCTGTGTCCAATGTTGTCACATACACCACCGCTCCATAAAAATATCAAAAAGAAGACTCACCCCAACCCAACGCACCACAATAGAAAAAGACTATCGTACACCTCAACGAACCCCTACCTGTGACCCCATAGATCTGTCCTCACACCGCCTAACCACCTCCTCCACCTGCCCACCACCCATCAACAGACAGAAAACCTTCCCATGCAACAGTCATCGCGCTGCTAATGACTTCACCCATCAAACTCCTCATATAGACAAAACTGTCACAAAACCTCCATCTCTCCTACATACAATGTGTATCCTCAACACGTGTCTGTCTCTCCCCACCAATACAGCCTCCTTCCCCCCGTGTCATCCTATCTACCCCACATGTGACCCTCAACAATACACTACCCACAACTCACTCCACCCTACCCTACAAGTATCACACATACTAATAAGAGATTGCATGTCTCTGTATAACTACTACTCCAGTCCCCATGTCTACCTCAACCTGTTCCATGCCACACTCTTGTCTCCTGCCAGTCTCAATTTGCGTACTAACCCCTATTAAACAACCAACACGCACGTGTCACATAACCCATAACAATGTGCCCCAACCGTTCCCTTACCACTCCAATAATAGCCCACACAATCTCCCATACTAAGATCCTCGGCATAGTGTGATCCATATACCATACAGAATACCAATAGACAAATATACCACCTGTCGAACATAGTCCACATCTGATCCCTACATTAAGTAAACAATACAATCCTCAATGCCCCCCCATGCTACATGACATGTGACCAATGGTGCGCAACTACCACAATATCCAACACATGTCTCATACCATCCTTTCATACCACCCTTTCAAACTAAACACGACTTTCTTCTGTACAATCATCCACTATGTGTGTATGCCAGCTGTCCATGTGACACCGCCTGTGTATGATCCCTGCCCCCCCCCCATCCCATCCTGACTATCCATCAGATCCTGTGATGACAAAAACGTGTGTAATGTGTTCCCATGTCTGCTCCGCACACAGTGTTCATCTCCTGACTTGTTCTGTCTAGTATACAGAGAGAGATCACTAGTACAAGTCCACTTCCACGACCCCCTATGTCTTAGACGCATGATCTGCCCCCGGCCACTGCCTGTCTCACATCCCACTCACCACCAATCATCTAGTAGTCCACCACACTCGACGCCCCGTACTAGCACGTCTACCAGTACCCCCAACTATCTTGCACAACTCACATCCAATAACCTCTCACATACTGTCTCTGCAATCATCCCCCCCTTATAGTCTGTTACTCACATCCGAACCCTCCCTCTATCCCCTAACCCCCACAAATCACATATTCCACCACTATATGAACCTCCACGATCCACCCATCAGTCTCCCTTGATCTATATCACTAGTGCATTCTCGATTGCTGTCCACTCCTAATATATCCATTCCACCTATGATGCCTCATACCATCGTGCCCGATGTGCCCTATTTCCTCAACCTGACTAATACCACACGCATTATCAATGTCCCCTCTTCCCCCTCCCACGTAATTCCCCTACACCCACTACAACCCCCCACAACCCCTAACCCCCTCCCTGTGTCTATTAGACCGTGTGTGACTCGCCACCACGCCCCCACTCCGCCTCGTCCCATCCGTTACTTCATGCCTGTGACTCCATGATATCCCCACTGCCCCGACCGTTATTCGTGCGGTGTATAGTCTACATTCCCTACCCGTCGTGCACTCTCCACACACTACATCCATTTATCAGGACAATACTCAACTCGAGACCCTCCACATCTTATCTTCTCATGTGTCTCGCTCTGTCTGCCTCGTCCAACCCCTTATCTCTTAACTCCTGTGTCTCTCTCTGAGAAACCTTGCCGACAGTGTGTCCCTACCACCACGCGTCACACCCTATCACCAACCCCCCCTGCACATGACAATCCTTGATCAATTCCCCCACAATACCAGAGTCTGAAAGTTCCTCCCCCCTTTTCTCCCAACCCCCGCAGTAGTCTCTCTCTCTCCACTGTCATGTCTCGTTATACCCACCCACACAGATGCCACCCTGATATCACCATCTTAAACTATATGCCCCCCCCCTAGAATGTGTGCCCATATCATGACCCATGATATAATCCCCCCACTCTCTCCACTCCCCCATTGTGCTACCCGCCTGTTGCCATAGCTGCACCGTACTCATCCTAGTAAACTATGTGTCTATCAGCAGTCAACCTACTCCAACCTCCAAGTTACGTGACTCCTCTCAGTACCCTAGTAACATGTTCTCTGTCACTCCTATAATCGGACACATCCACGTCTCATCCTCTAGACCCTACCACTCCTACTCCCCTGAAGAGTCCCATTAACCCCCCTATACCCAGTGCCCAATACCTAATGCCCTATCCACCTACCCCACCGTCGTTTAACATCACTTCTCTATACTTCGCGCGACTCAAGAGTCTCTACAGACTTAAGAGGAGAGACCAATGCCGCTGTACCTCAACATCAAAATACCACACACACACCTATCACACTCCTTTCACCCCCTATGACACCGTGAATCGCCCCAGCTACGCACCTGACTCATCGTGTACTATCTTCTTACGTATATACTATAACATCTCATCCCTAGTCTCTCTCATCCCCACTCGTAACACTAATAACCTTGATCAAATAGACAAGTTCAATTCACTACCTCCATCCCATGTTTCTCGACTGTGCCCCTAATCCTAGTCACCACCCACTTCTAGAGACATCACTCCCATCCTGTGTCTATCACCCTCCTTCCTCCTCCCACTAGTTCATAATATACATCTTTTCCCCTCCATTCATCTCTTTCTTTAAAACCATAGTCACACTATCCGCTCCCTCTCATCTATCGATAGGATCATCACCACCTCCACATATGTTCACGTCCCACCCTGACCTCTATCGCTTAGTGCCCTCCTGTAACCGTCATCTATACCATCTCACAATGACTTGTCTCGCCTATCCGTCTGCCAAAAGTCCCCCCCACGTACTCCCAATTACCCATATCCACACATTCGTGTTACGTGTGAACCTTCCCGCACCGTCTTATATATTCCTTGCTCCCCTGAACTTGTTGATATGCCACTAACCCCTCTATCACACCCCACGACCCCTTAGAGCGTAAGGACCAAGACCTACTCCACACACCAAATCATACCCCCCATAGCATCTTGTCACTCCCATATCCTCCCCTCCTACACCATCTTCTATCATTACCCATCTAATAGTAACGGTGTGTTATGATAGTTGTGTACCCCCAATCCCTCTCTGTTCTTAATTATACCAACAGTCCTCTATATCTACGTATCCCACATCCATACCAACGACCTATCGAAGATGTTCATCCTGCTCCACCTGTGCCCTCTACCCACTGCAATCTTTCATCTCAATACACACCTCGTCCACCCCCCCTACTACCCCTATTTATGACAACCTTCCCACCCCCTATCACTCATGTATGATCAGAGACCCCCCATATCACCATAATCATCCTACGCAAGTCTCTATCTTTACATCTAATTCCTCCCTCTCGTACCCTGTCATCCCCCTCCCAGAGAGTCAGTGCCGCGCTCCCTGTCCTACTGCTCATCCTGTTCTGACCATGCCGCACCTCACTACCTCGACGCTACTCCAACGCTAACCAATCCACACAATAAATCCAGCCCAGTCACCTCAACCACACACTCCTAACACCCTATCACGTCTGCACCCATTATATCCCGTAAAACTGTCATACACGATAGTGTCGTGACCTCACTAACCATATTCCTCATCACTCCCCCACCTAATAATTCATGCCTGATCCCATTAAACCAGTTGTTCATTTCCCCCACCTACAAATGTCTTACCCTATACATCCGTCATTATCCTTGTGTACGCACATCAAACCGCGTGTCCTCATCACCCCCATCCCCTCTTATCACATTCAATGTGTATACCTACTTAATCAGCTACGATATCTGTCTACGCTAGATACATACTCTACCCACGCCTCACATCCCCCATCTACACTACATACATTTACTACCATGTCTCCGTCTACAAACCAATAACCATGTACACCCATAGTGCCCTACAACGCTCCTCACTCTAATGATCCATTCCCCCAACATCATATACACCTACACCAACTGTCCACTCCATATCACATCTGTTTCTCTAATGTTCGTCTATGTCCTCCTAAGTATACTCACACCCCACCCATAAGACCACGCATGTCTCAATCCATCTCTCTCTAATATCGATAATTGCTGCCCACCAAGATCGAAAGACTCCCTTCGTTGCACCCACACAGTTGATGACCAAACACCAATAGTGCTGCCCAAACAGATACTACCCATCCCTGATCAAGATTCTACACATATCAGATCACCAGCACAAACCTTTCATCTCTCTCATGCCATGCTGCACAATTCCTCCCCTGATGCCAGCCACAATGAACAGTGACAAAGTTCAGGCTAGACCACTATTCCAAACATATCCTACCACCTAATATACCCCAATATCTACGTTGCCGCTCCCCAATACCACACCCTGCCCTCTCTGTCATTAAAGTCGCTAACCATTACCATCCCTCTAGTGAATGTGCAATATAATACAACTATCTTCTGTCATACTGAACTCCCCTAGACCTATCAGCGTCCTTGTAATTCCCTCCCCCATACATACCCACTTAACAAGTAGACCACTACACAATGACTCTGCACACCTCAACCAATCCCCTCCCCCCTCATCACCCTCACCACCTGAATTTCCTATCTTTCACCCCCGCCCCCCCACCCCAATTCCCTTACCCCCCAACACTCAGCTGCATTGATTTCCTTCGCTCTCCCACCCTGTACCCACGCACCCCACCTCAGCACTCGCCCGCTCACCCCGTGTCCACCATTTTTGTAGATTCTGTCAATAAGAGTCTGTTTGCCTCGCCCGCTTCGCTGTACCTCTTCCCACGCCTAACCACCTACGCATCCGTTGCGCCCAATGTCCCTCTGACTGTGTCCCTTCTGTGTTCCTGTGTGACATCACACAGTACCCTCATATACATACTCTACTATCCTCCCTCAGTATAGACTTTGTCCACCTCACCTTGCTGTCTCATATCATAGCATGTGTGTGTTGTTACGCCCATCCCATCCCAAGATTGTGTCTCTCGATAACTAATGTCATATTCAATGAATATTGCCATGCTTCCCTCCACCCCTTATATATCCCTCTTCATTGCCCACTATCTCCACTCCACAAACTCCCCACCAAATCCCCCCACCTATGCCTAATCACTCACACTATATCATCTCCATCCATGAGTCCCATTCACCCACTTACCACACTGCCCTGACTCCTGCCGTGCCTACTACAGTTCTGTTTGTGTGTCACATTCCCATCATCCATACCCAACCCTGCCCTGCCACTGTCTCTGTCTTCCCCCCCACTACGAGCTCCTGAGTCACTATGAGATAAACAATACCTGTGTACCCACCCCCCCTACACCCTCCTCACCTCCCTTGTGAGTCCCCTCTCTCGTCCCCAGAAGATAAGTGTTGTCCCCTGTCCTATACCCCCCATATTCATCTCCCTATCGCCATAGATAAAGCACTTCCGTGTCTCTACTCCATGAACGCATCCTGACACCTCGCACCACAGCTAATTTCATGCATCCCTCGTGCTTGCACAGAGTCTGAATGAACCATTACTCCACGTGTCGCTCATGCTTCTCCCCCCCCCCACTCACCTATCACTCCCTTACCTATAATATTAATATCACCTCTCCTATCCGTCCCCCAAACACTAAATCCATCTTTAGATATCAGTGCTAGTGTCCTCCCTCCTCAAGACTCAGACGTATCATCTCCCTCTACTCCCACCCCCCCTATTATGTGTCCCAAACACTACCCCCACATATCATATCACACACTTTATTGTTATCTGATCAATCCCCTCCCCCCTCCTGTATGGAATACCCCTAGAATATCCCCCCCACAACCCCCATAGAGAGCACCTCCATACTATCGCCAGACTCTCCACTTCAAGTTTTTTGAAGCCATGTACTACGGTCACAAACCAAATACATTGTCCACAAAAGATATGTTATTACTTTTGAGAATTTATCTGGTGAAGTTAAGGTTATAAACAACTGTGTGCCTTCAATAGCGGCACGCAATGTTTGATGTTGACAAAAAAATGCAGTATGTGATTGCTCACTTCTAAGTAAGTAAGTAAGTAAGTAAGCTTTATTTATATACCGCCTTTCACAGACCAGAGTCACAAAGCGGTTTACAATTGTTATTTTTTGGGCACTTGTCCTCTCACTCCACACAGAGATGGGAGCGAGTTCTACCACTGGATGAAGTCGTTTCAAATCATGACTTTGCTTATCCAGTATTAGGGCTGGTCGATTTGGCAAAAAAGTAAAATCTCGATTTTACTTCCTGCTTTGGACAATGTTGATTTTAAATCGATTTTCATTAAAGTCACTCAAGAGACTTTGCCCTTAAAATAATTTTTATCCTCCCGCTAAATATTTGAGTTTCAAAACAATGTTTTATTTGTTTCCCCTAATACATATTATAAAAGTCTTGTACAGACTGCTGATATCGCAAGTATAATTGATGTGCTGCTGGAACTCTCACAATATCCCTCATTCAATTTCATGATTTTCACATTTTTTCAAAAGCCGATTAATTGCCAAAACTCGATTTATGGCCCAGCCCTATCCAGTATTTAAAATAATGCCCAACATGTTATGTTAAGGGACAATAAGAATCCATAATATTTGTGGGGTATTTGTCGATCCCTTGATTTCGGAGTAGAAATACAAATGAATGAAGAGATCCAGGGTTTTACCACACCTCTTAACATCCACTTGCCCACCTTGCTCAAAGATGGTGGGAATCAAACTTAAAATGTTCCGGTCATCCCTGACGAATTGATCATGCCCTTTGAATATTATAAATGTGGATTCCAGTTGTATAATAAGAAAATAACACCCATAGAACATACCATCTCATCACCATTACAAACCAAAAGTCATGGGACCAAATGAAAACGTATGGATTTAGTTTTAGTCATACCTAAAGTGCAAACAAAAAGATGTGCGCAAAGTTCAGCTTGGATAATTCAGAGAGAAATCAGACTAAAGCAGAGGTGACTGCGGGACGAGGTGAGGAAGGGAGGGGCGAGAAGGAAAGAGACACTTCTTATAAGTAGAAGCTAAAGAGGTCAGAGCGCAAGTTTCTGGGTCAGAGCGCATTAAACAAGCAAGCAGCGGCCGAGTAGTCGTCCTCCTCTGAACCCCCGTGGCGATGCGGCAACGTGGACAGGCTTCAGCCAACTGTGACCACACATTAGGCACATACTGTGAGCCTTACAGACAGTGCTCAGGGCGTCAACACATATACTTGCCCTTTATTGTAATCCTCAGCATATACGCGGACCAGCCAAGACCTACATCCAAAGAAGCCAGCGGTGTGGAGTGGGAGAAGGGTGCGCGCGTTTGACTGGCACAAACGCTAACCTTAACTCTCATCTGTAATGGTCTTATAGGAACACCGCTCAGGGCGTAAACACTGCTAGGTAAAACGTACAGGACATGGTATGGAATATATATAAACATGTGTGCGGAGAAAAGATTTGCAAGTCATTGAGTTGTCACCGGCGCGCGCTTGGTTTTGACTGTCGGCGAGGTTTAGCCCAAGCGCAACGAGAATTGGAACACGGCCATTTAAGCTGATGGAAATTTGCCCATTTTATATATGTGCATGGTGGCATGACAGTCACGCCAGCGGTAGGATGGTTAATATTTGCGTTTTGGGAATTCATTTGTGTTGTGATGTGAGGTAAAGTGGTGATGACAGGTAAGTGGTGGCCCCAGTGGCAACAACTGGTGACTGAGGCCACTGACCATGAAATTATGTGCAATATTCAATCCATAGCGGTGTGTCTGTTACATTTTTATTTTCTCTTTTTTCAAGGGTAAGTATAGTCCGTACATAAAATAGACAATTTTTTCACAAAGTAGACATGAAGCTGGTATTGCTAGTAAACTAACATGTTGTGGCCGCACCATGCCATCTTTTATCTTATTAGAAAACATTAATTATTGCATATTTAAGCCTTGTCAGTCACTATTTGACACTTTGGGCGAAGAGCTGATTGGTGGAGTGAGGGTCGTCCAATCTTTTTCCACTTTCTACATGAAAAAGCTGATCTATCTAAGATGTGACAGTGGCCCAAAATGCATGCATGTGAGGAAGCTAGCTAGATGGATTGTGTTAGATAGTTAAAGACATTTTAGAAAGTTATGTACCCCAGCTTAAATCCTATTCAAATCTTACTAAGAATTGAGTTTGTTGCATTTTATAAGAAAAACCACGAAGCCACCAATAGATAAACAACGAACGCATGTAAAATATTTGTAACATTCACGAAACGCTGACAACGAAACCGCCAAAGGCAATTACAGCCTATAGTGAGGTCGTACGGGTCAGAACACACATGCATGCTAAACAAATATAAATGATAAAATTGACAAAACGTGTTATTAAATTAGTTTGTGAAGAGTTCGTCTAAGCTGCTGATCCCTGAGTGTACGATTCGTCACTGACAGTGGTTGCAAACAGATTGAGTGTGACTTCATTTCATTAGTCTTGACAAAGCTTCTGTGCAGCCCCAGGGGATGGAGGGCTGATTGATGGCTTACATAACACAAGTCAGGTTTTACTATTTAGCTCCTATTCTTTTCCTTTAAGCCATTGTAAAGCCACTAAGCGTCGGGATCAGAGGACAGCCCGGGTGCACACCTCAGGACTGATGCTATTATGACTGGGGCCTTGGTCAAACTCTGACTATGCAAAACCAACCATGTTTTCTTGGGTGTGTTGGATGACCAACTTTGAAGTCTGACCAAAATATTAAATACAGTTAAGGAGGTTAGGTTTTTACATGAGAGTCTGTAGTTTCACATTGGGGTTTGTGTGTCTGTTAGTCAAAAACACAATTAAAAAGGGTGTAACTTTTTAGAATCTATAATTGTAGGTAATGTGTATAACTTTTGCCGTCTCTTGTCCAGAACTCCCTTGAAAAAGAGGTTCTTAATCTCAATGGGACTTTCCTGGTTAGATAAAGGTTTAAATGAAAAACTAAAATTGCTTTGAAAACTATCCAATTTTTAGTTAAAAATCAAATAAAGATGACATCTGAAAGAATCACTAATGTCTTTGTACCAACAGACACAATATTTTTTTCAAATTAAAAAATAAAACCACTACTATTACTTGGGTCATGATAACTTAACAAAAGCTATCGAGTCATAAGCACTGAAAGCTGGAAGTGGCAAAGTCAAAAACTGCAAAATAAAGCACGTCCTTGAATATAGCGTGATCTATTTTTATCACCTGGTACAAAAGACGACCGATGACTTGTGAAAACTTGCCCATCACCTTCTCTCGCTTGTTGTGAAACTTTCCATCAGGAATGACATGTTCATCCATGAGTATCCAGCTCACTATGTGTCACCCTTTAAACAGCTTTACACATCAGCAGCACACTGTCCGGGCAACCACCGCCTCTCCAACATTTGTGAATACATCGCATGACTCAAATCTCTCTCATCTGACATCACTGGGCTCATTCTGCCATGACGGATGCTATAATCCCCATGACTAAAACTGATAGCAAGGTATTCCCGTTAAAGGTTGGATAATCAGCAAAAAGTTCATTTTTATATATCTTCTGGGTAGATGCTATGTTTAGTTAAGATACTGATATACTGTAGTGCACTGGCTATATAAATGGACATTACATTCAATCCAATCCAATAAATAAGCAGTTTCTAAAGTTCCGTTGAACAAAAATAACAAAAGACATAGAAGAAAAAATAGCAAAAAATAAATAAATACACACATATATAAATATCAAATAAAAACACACAGGATCACACGACTCACGCGGTGTTAAAGCCAGAGAATGAAAGTGGGTGAGCCGTCTTGACGTGGGGAGGCAGAGCGCTCCAGAGCTTTGGTCCAGCCACAGAGAAGTCCCTGTCCCCCGGGTTTTAACATCTTCAACCAGTGAA